TCGATATATACTGATAGCTCAATATGTTGCTTCAAGTACTCACAAACAAAAAATGCTGTCACGATGAATTTATCACAGAAATTGACACTTAAGCAGAATGGAAGCCATTGTTGTTTACATATCGGGGCAATGCCTGTCGTTGACCGAATTGACGACCAAAATGCCACGCACGCACAGCACATCGCACCAGTTGCATGCACGCGTTTTCAGTCGTTCGATTCAATGAATTCACTACCTATTCGGGGTGATTACAGAGACATTTTTGTTTATTGTAATGATGTTTCACTGAGGAGATTCCGGTTAATTGTATTGAGGCAAAATAAGGCAACGCATGCTTGGTACAGGCTGTTGGTGGTCATGAAAATGCATTTGATGCCAAATGATGCTGTGGCGTCAACACTAACCCGTAGTAGAATGCCTAATGCATGTTTGGGAATATCGGATATTGCAGCTGTGAGTCATTACTCAGAGGTACACAGCGATAAAAAGTGACATAATGGGATGGAATGACGTCTGATTAACGGTAAACGAGTGATGCTTAAAGTGAAGCCAGTTTATTCTGTTCACGTGCCTGCTTCCTTGAATTTTATAAATTCTATTCGAATAATAACACCGGACTATGAGGCATCTGCCACTACGGTTATGACCGAAGGCACATATAAACACATTTTAACCACAGACGGCATGCCATTGCGCATTTATTGGGTAGCACTTCCGAAAATGGAAAGTGTAAAAAAACGAATCTATTCTAGATTAACAGCACGCCTTGTGGTGTAAGCCAAGGGATACCCCCAGGTTCCGCCAGCTGTCCATGAACTAATGCAAGACACAGGAGAAGTGTGTTAGTGACACCCCAACTTGCACAAGACCAAAGGTCACTGATTCAGGGGTCACAACAACAGCAAGGTTGGACCATTACTTAATCATGCTGCTCGCTTCTCCGATTGAGTTGCTCACCGAGGATATCGTCCAGCATAACCGGGTATTAAGCTTGAGGAAATGAAGCAGCAGCACTCTGAGGACAACATACCTCACAAAGTAAAGACTATAAGTAAGAACGCTGAATTTAAAGTGCTCTTTTGTTGGAGATTTAAAATGGAATCTTTTGCGCCATCGACTGACCACTGTAAAATGGTCTACAAAATCATGAAGCTGCCTTATTACGAGTTTAAGACAACAATTCCTGGGGCGAAGCAGAGAAATGAACAGTCTCAAGGCAACCAAAGATGAATGTAAGAATAGAAAGGTGACGGCCAAAATGAATATCGCAGTTGGTGTGCATAAAACAGATGATTATGGATAAGGGAAAATGGTTAAATGCTGACGTCTTCATTAAAATGGTAACAATCCAGACGGAGGTTAAGTCGAATCTCCAAGCATTGCAATCATCCGTTTACATTCTATTCATTCTTAGAGACTAACACTACCAATTCTAATGCAGTAATCATAAATTAAAATTAGTTGAAAATGCAATTTCGTGAAAGCACATGGGCCTGAGTGTGGGACAGACATTAGAGCTGCAAATGCAATGTATGCAGAATTTAAACTCAAGCTTAAGATCAGTTAATGAAATTTGAGCAAATTCAGCACATTCTTAGTACATTAAAAATGTCGTGTGAACGGTGCATGTTTTAGCATCCGAAAAAGCCGATTTTTCCGTCTAATTGTAGAGTCATCAACTAGCTGTCATAATTCGCTAATTTTTCATGACAGTGGAGCAATTTAATAGCTTCTATCCAGACAACAGTATCGGTAGGCAAGCTCATTGATATCTGTTACAACAAACACATTTAATAGCAGCTTTGTCATTATATTCATTAAAATTCACGCCGATTTTCGCATTATATTTGAATTCTCTTAGGTCATCGAGAGTTAACTTTGCTTAACACATTCTCACACATCATGACATTACAGAT